AGACAAAAAGCAACAATACAATTGAGTTTGAGAATTGAGTACATTGTAGGGTGGTTTTCATTTCCTTAAATATTTTTCTCTGTTTATTTTTTCCAGAATGTTGGGACATTTTCTCCACTTTTAGGCACCAGTGAATTTTTTTTTTCATTTCCCCATTGTTTTTGATGGTAAGAGTAAGCTGAACTTTAAATGTAGAAATATGGTTAGTCTTTGGTTTGCCTAAGGAGTTCTGGTGGTGCCGTGGTTAAAGTATTCAGCTGCTAACCAAAAGGCTGGTGGTTGAAACGTACCAGCAAGTCCAAGGGAGAAAGATGAGGCAGTCTGCTTTTGTAAAGATTTACAGCCTTGGAAACGCTATGGGGCAGTTCTATTCTGTCCTATAGTGTTGCTACAAGTCAGATTGAACTCAGTAGCAGTGGGTTTTGTTTGGTCTGCCTTCTTCAAAGATGTAGCATTTTCCTACTACAAAGATGTTTGGAATAGGATATTTCATTTATTCTGTGAGTATTTTCTTAATTCCGGCTATGTGCCAGAACTGTTCTACACATAGATCAGCAATTTTGTGTTTATTATATCCAAGTTTGGGTCATTTTTTGTTTTTAAAGTTTTTTTCTTTTTTACAAAGATCTTGTATTTGCATCAGGTAAGGATCATCTATCCTTTTTCTTTCTCAATGTATGAACTCAAAGAGAAATTATTAGACATTTTCATTTCCTTCCATCTCTTACCTTACACTGAAATATTGGTTATTCACGAGGAGAAGCTGACCTCTGTCAAGTTGTATGCAACATGCAGCAGTATTCTATAAGAAAAAGTAAAATTATTTATGTGGAGTTGGATGCCTGGGAGGGTTACCACGTTCTTTAAAACATTATTGCTGAAAAGAAAACAAACAAAATCCTGTTACTGTCGAATACACTTATCTGAAAAATGAGAGCATAGCCTTGGCTGGTTTCCAGGCCCACTGAAGAAACTCTAAGAATTTCCCACACTTCATATAGTGTGGTTGTGTAGAGTACGTTCAATCCCTGGAGTTGGAACACTAGCTACCACTTGCCTTCCAATATTCCCTACCTGTTTACCCATTACATATCTTCTTTGCACTCAGTTTTCTCTTCTTTAAATAAAGATAACAACAGTATTGAGTGAGAACATGCCAAATTAATTTCGAACTCCCTACATGAGATGCTAAGAGCTGAGGCTAACATTCCATTTTGAATCAAAAGTAACCTCTAGATCTTGGATAGAGTGGGAGAACAATGTGGAACAAAACTCAAAATCATTAAAATAAAAAAAAAAAAAAAAGACCAGGTTTGCTGGTCTGATAGATCCTGATGAAATCCCTGAGACTATGGCCCTTCAGGTCTGGAACTGAACTCCCTCCTGTGGCTTCTCACCAGCCAATAGACAGGCACGTGGGGTGAACATTTACATCAGGTAGGTACACTCCATGGAGCATGGGGAAAACAGAAGGGTAATGTTGGCACAGGGTGACAACTGGGGTGGGGGAGGTGGTGCATGGGAGAGATGGATACAGCTAAGAGGTAACTACTGGGAGGAAGTGGGAAGAGAGCTGTTACATTGTGGGGAATGCAATCAATGCCATGAAATAAAATGTGTCTGAACTGTTGTATGGAAAATGAATTTGCTCTGTAATCTTTCACCCAAATCACAACAAAAATTTAAAAAGTTGAAAAAAAGAACAACCCCTGCTTCAGGAATGTAGGCTGAGAAAATAGTACTTGGTAAACAATTTCAGAACACAATGTAATTTTGTTTGCTTGCTGGGTAAGAAGCCAGGTCCCAAACAGTTCTCAGAACAGATGCTTACTCAAAATAAACTTTAGAATTCCACACGTCCTTCCTATAGTCACACAAGAAGTGGCTCATGATTGTTTTGAGGCCAGATGTACTCGATTGGTTTACAACGACAAACACTCAGGTTCCCCCAAAGTTCCACTACATCCTGTTGGATTATCCCCACTCCTTACATTCATTTGTTAATTTGATACCCTGAGGGCATTTTTGTTTGTAGCTCACTCTATAAGGTAAGATAGGAATTTACATTGACATTAATTACAGTAACTCCATCTAGTAAATCCTTATCGATTTACCTGTCATTGGACACTGAACTCAATCTGAGGGCCTGGATTGCATTTGTCTTGTTCATAGGTTTATCTTCAGGACCTAGCATACTAAATGGGCCCCCAGAAATATTAGTGAGTCATAGTCATCAAGACTCCAGCTTTCAACTTAAGTAACACACAGCTATTTTTGGTAAATCATCAAGGACATGCCCAGGTAAGTTCCCTAATTCTTTTTGTGAGCATCATACGGTTGTTGTTAGGTACCGTTGAATCATAGCCGCCCTATGTACAACAGAACAAAACACTGCCCTGGTCGCACATGGTCCGCATAATGGTTGCTATGCTTGAGCTCATCATTGCAATCACTGCGTGAATCCATCTCCATGAAGGTCTTCCCCTCTTGCACTGATCCTCTACCTTACCAAGCATGGTACCTTTCTTCAAGGACTGGTGCTTTCTGATAACATGACTAAAGTACTAAAGTACCAGAGATGAAATCTGGCCATTCTAGCTTCTGAGGAGTTCTGAAGTGAGCATACTGAAGGAGCTCTGGTGGCATAGTGGTTAAAGCATTTGCTAACCTAAAGGTCTGTGGAACCCACTGTGGAGTGATGAACCAGTCAATTCAGTCACACTGAGAGAAGAATTAATCACTTATGTATAAATGGGGAACCAAGAGAGACCCAGAATACTCAAAGTCTGCCCACCCCAAGATTGTGTACACACATATTCCACGTCAAGAACTAGGGATCTTTAACCCGTGAGAAGGACAAAGAGAAGCCCCTAAGCTGTGACTGTGATGAACCTTATCTCTTAGCTCTGGAAGGCATCAACACCAAGTGGATTCTATTTCTCTCAAGGCTGACCTCCTTGGAATATCTGACTATATTCTTGGTGTCTTTTGGTTTTGTGCCTCTGGGTCGGAGTGATCTTTGCCCAGATTATTTTGTACATTAGGTTATCAGCTCCGCAGGGAAAGGATGAGGTAGTCGGCTTCCATAAAGATTCACAACCTTAGAAATCCTATGGGGAAGTTCTATACTGCGAAAGGGTCAATGAGTCGGAATAGACTCCACGAAAATAGGTTTGGTTTTGGTTTATTCCCGCACTTTCACTTTAGATTCGGGAAAGTGGCATTCAGGGAGCTGTCTTCCCTGCCAAATTACGACTAGCCCATCAGACCAGAGTCCAGCACTCAGAGTTCAAGGTCTTGGCGAGGGGGAGGAGATTCGCTGGGGTTCCGACTTTCCGAACTCGCAACCTCTTCTTCCGGGGTTGGGGGGTGGAAAGCCTCCCCGAGGCTCCGCCCCGCTCCCGCCTTGTCCCCTGAGCTGAGCCGCGCGCAAGGGTGCAGTTCTCGGGAGATTCTCGCGTGATGGCGACTGCAGCAGGAGAAACGGCCTACTTCCAGAGGGGCAGTCTGTTCTGGTTCACAGTGATCACCCTCTCCTTTGTGTACTACACGGTAACTGCAGGGGGCCGCCGCGCTACGGCCTAGCAAGGAGAACGAGCGCAGATTCGCTCCCACAGTAGCCGAGGAGTGGCGCAAGCGCACTTCCGGCTCCCGCGCGTCCAGAGCCGAGGGAGAGGGCGTTAGATTCGGGAGGACAATGCCGGTGCACTCGTCTGCCCCGGCTTTTCCTCTGTGCACCAGTCCTAAGGAACCGGTTAAGCAGGCTTTCCCTCGTTGTGGTCGGGAACATCTTCCCACCTGACGACTCAGTGCCTAGATCTTTGAAGATGGTGGTGACGAAGTCAAAGGCCAGCCGAGCCGCCTACTTCGGTACAGCCAGACCCTTGGCCTCACTGGTCACGGTTCTGGCACTGGGATACTGCACGGTGAGGCGTGGAGCGGCGCATAAGTTCTGGTCCTCCTAGGTCCGTAGAGCGAGGGGCATTGTGTGGACTAGGTCTCTGCGCTTCTGCGCCTAGTGGTTGCCTAGGTTACTGGTGTACTCGGAAGTTCGGTAGGGTCGGAGGATGGAGTGTGCTTTCTTTTAAATCCTTGCCTCTCCACTGTTCCTAGGAACTCTGGTAGCGTAGGGCTTATGGCATTTGACTGCTATCTAGAAGGCTTGCGGTTCAAACCCACTAGCCACTCCTCGGAAGGAAGACTGGGCAATCTACTTCCATAGAGATACCGCCTCGGAACCCCAAGGAGGGATTGCTATGAGTCCGACTTAACGGCAGGGAGTTTGTTTGTTTGTTTTCCCACTGTTACTGTGGTTTAACCGACTCAGAGGTGAGCTCACCGAGGGGGAAGCCAAGTTGACAGAATGGCAAAGGGGAAGAGTAGGGCTTCTGGAAGCAGTGTGTTTGAGGCACTTGGGATTGCTTAGAAATCGGGAATAAACCTACAGGATGAGTAGGATGTAATTGGTAAGAAGGGATAAAGATGATATTACTTAGGGCATCGGTGTGGAAGCAGGAAGACAGTATCTTTACCTAGGGGGAAGAGCAGATTCTGCCTAGTTAAGGAAGAGTTCGCTTAAAGGATAATGGGAAAGACGTCCCTGAAATTAGGTTGGGGATGAAGTTGGAATGATTTTGAAGGAAGGAACGGCTATTTAGATATTGTCCGAGAGCTCCCGAAGATTGGGCCTTTGAAATGTGTTTGTTATGCCCCAGTGTTCTGTTGGTGTGAAATTTGATCACCTCCGCCCTTGTTTCCCCATATGTAAAGTCGAGGTCTGAACTGAAAAATTTCAAAGGTACCTTTTTGTTCTATGATTTTGGGTCTCTGATTAGTTAGGATGCACATGGAAGAAAGCTTTGGGGGACTTCAAAATGGGGCATTGTGGAGCTGGCTACCCCTTCTGTTCCTGTGGTTTGGAAAGATGCAGTGGTGTTTCATGTTATTTAAATTTTGGTTGTGAAACAGTATGGGAGAGGTAGCATTGCTGTAGGTTGAGATCTGAATGGCTCAATAAACTTTGAAACTGTTGGTACTTCATTATGCAGAGAAGCTTAAGGTGGTAGAAATTGCAACACAAAGACTCAGGAACAGTTGATCCATTACTCAACTTTGTGTTACTAAGATGCCAGCACTTCACAAACCCATCTCAGTATTTTCTATCTCTGCACAGTAGTAATGATCATTACTGATCATCTACTGATCATTACCAGTTTAGGGGTAGAAAAAGTGTTAAAAAAAAAAAACAAAACAAAACTCTCTGCCCTCGAGTCAGATCCAACTCATAGCCACCCCTTCTTGGGTTTCTGAGGTGGTATCACTATGGAAGTAGATTGCCCGGTGTTCCTTCCGAGGAGTGGCTGGTGAATTTGAGCCACCAGCTTTCTGGTTAGCAGTCAAATGCCTTAGGTATTACGCCACCAGAGCTCACTAGAAGTGTCAGAAGAGAAGAAAACAACTGTTGCCATCGAGTCTGTTCTGACTTTCGGCGAACCCATGTGTTACAGAGTAGAACTGCTGCACAGGGTTTCCTTGGCTATTAATCTTTACAGAAGTAGGCTTTCTTCTGCACTGATGGTGGGTGGGTTCTAACCACCAGCCTTTAGGTTAATACCCGATCACAGACTGCTTATGTCACCCAGGGACAGAGAAAAAGAGAAAGAAAAAAAGAGAAAGGGATTCTAAAACAAGGTTTGACTCGAGCCATCACAAAGAAGCTATCTCAGGCACATAAACTCTTAAAATTTGTTATTAGACAAATTGACTGTTACTTTATGAAATTACTGTTATTTTATGAAATAGTGGTTTTCGTAGAATTCATCAAGGATAGGAGCCATCTTCCCTGGACACTGAATCTAATAAAAAAAAAAAAAAACTTAGTTTCCTCAGCATAACTCTCCCACTAGAGTAGTTTTAAGAAATAGAAGTCAAGGGTGGGGTTCCACATGACTTTGTGCCGAGTTTCTTTGGTCTCTGAAGTAAGCTTACCGAACAGGGTAGATGGTCTTACAGAGTTAGCAGTGTTTCATAGTCAAAAGCAAAGACTCGCTGATCTTTTAAATGATGTAATAATAGGTGTTCTGTGCCTCTGGTTCTCTTTCAGTGGGTTGTCTTCTGGCCTCAGAGCATCCCCTATCAGAGCCTCGGTCCCCTGGGACTCTTCACTCAGTACTTGGTGGACCACCATCAGACCCTTATACAAAATGGGTGAGGAGATCTGCAGAAATGAGATGTGGGCACAGGAGCTCCAAGCTCTCTGGAAACCTGGAAGGCCTACAGTTACATTTCTATGTATGATAGTGGGATTAATTCATATTCGGGCACCTTTCTTTTTAATATTTCTGTATTAGATTTAATCAGCAAATAACCACTACTTTAAACTAGACTAAAATTTTTTTTTGTTTGTTTCAGGTATTGGCTTGCCTGGCTGATTCATGTTGGAGAGTCATTGTATGCCCTGGTATTATGCAAGTGAGTCCTTGTAATAGGTCTTTTTCAACTTCTCCTTGGTGTCTAAAAGTTGAGAGGAGCCACGTTTAAATAATTTACACACTTGTAGGCTGAGAATCGAATCCCTGTGCCTAATCCTGGGCCTAATCCTGGGCCTGGCCCAGAGGGAGTGCTCAGTAAATATTTGATGAACAAATTCACTTCATTTGTGTTCATCAGTTACTTAGTTATTTAAATGTAGATTACTTTTGGTTTTTGACATTTTTTTCTCCATAGCCCCAATAAGAAGAAAGAATTATAATCAGTCCTGGTTTCACAACAGAATCACCTGAGGAGCTGTTTCAAAATACCCATGTCTGGTTTCCAGCCTCAGAGATTCTGGTCTGTAGGTGTGACTTCTGACATGGGAATCTTGTTTTTTCAAGCTCCAGACACTTTAGAGGTACAGAGCAAGTTGACAACCACTGAACCAGATATTACTCAGCAGATACCAGTTTAGGTTAATACTATGTGAGAATCCCAGAACACTGTGTGTATTTGTACTTTAAGCATGTTGTTGTTGTTGTTATTTGCCGTCGAGTCAGCCCCGACTCATAGCGACCCCTCCTTGGGTTTCCGAGGCAGTATCACTACGGAAGTAGGATTGACCAACCTTCCTTCCGAGGAGTGGCTGGTGGGTTTGAACCGCCAGCCTTCTGGTTAGCAGTCAAGTGCCTTAGGCACTATGCTACCAGAGCTCCTACTTTAAGCATATCTAATGTAAAAAAAAGGGTTATGGTAATGTCACATTGTTCAAAAACTAATATTTTTTCTGGTCAAGATTAGCTATCACCTTTATTATTGTTGTAATGTTTAAAAAATTGAAAATAAGATACTTTATCACTGCTGTGTTTTAATAATAAAAATAACTACTACTGATTGGGTACATACTATACCAGACACTGTTAAATGCTTTAAATAGGTTATGTTACTCTGTCTTCTGGTTTATTAAACAGGTGAACTTTCTGGGATGGGAGCAGGAAGCATCTTTATTCTTTTTCGTCCCTTTAGTAAACTCACCATGTGGATTGTTCCCTGCCTCCCACCCCAGCCCTGGATGAAATCTCAAGCAGATTCATAGGTTTTCCAGTCACTATCTGATGTTACCAAGTCCAGTCCAGTCTATGTATTAAACTCATTCAGTTGAACTGTCATTCAAGTCAGTGAACTCTGACTCAATTCAGTGTCTGTTCTCATCCAGCTGGGGTTCAAGAACTTACTGTGGGGAAGAAGAGGCAGTTACTGTCTTTTTTCACATTGTGCCTTTTCACTAGCAACAACTACTTGTGACCCCTTAGGATGGTGGGAGTAGTTTAAGGGCTACTGCCTTGTGGCTTGGCAGCTGGGGCCTGTGTGCATTGCATGCTTAGTATTGGCTGTCTATTTCCAGAGGGGCTTTGGTAGATTTTTGGGAAACCATCGATCAGTAGGCATTTCCCTTCTACAGTTCCCTTGATGGTTCGTTCAGATACCTCTTCCAGCCTGACACTTAACGGTTTCACCTTCAGAACTGTCTACCTCTTTGTTGACATGACTGCTGCCTTCAGTTAGGCTTCTGGGACAGGGCCTCTTTTAAATGCACCCATAGCCAGTTCCCTTCCATAAGATCTCTGATAAATGGCTTCCTTATCCTTTCAAAATACACTATGCACACAGTGTTGAGAGCAGCCACATCTGTTCGCTCTGCCACCAGGCTGGCTGCACCACTTTTTATATTTTTTAAAGTGTGAGTTAGGACCTAGTCTCTTCATCCCCCAGATTCCAGGGGACTCATAATGAGTTCTCCAGGTGGTTCTATTGTGGCCATCTGGCCTTGGCATGGTAGGAGGTGCTGCAGCACTTTCGTACCTCTTTCCAATCCACCTCTTTAGCCTCTCAGTGAAATCTTAGCTTGGAGATGAGTGGGCTCCACCCTGCAATTGAGAGTGGAGGAGTACCTGACACCTATTTTGTCCTCATTTGGAGCCTCTAATGAAACCAAGAGTCAAATTTAACATCCTGCTATACAATTATTTGAAAGAGGGAAGGAAACGGGCCTAGAGAGATTAGATCACTATTGTCACATTCTTGAAATAATTTCTTTATAGTCTAATGTGTTGGAAGGTATGGGGACTATATATCTAAATCAATATTCCTTTTGAATTTTGAGGAGGTTTGGTGGTGCAGTGGTTAAAGCATTTGGCTGCTAACCAAAATGCCAGCAGTTCGAACCCACCAGCTGCTCTGTGGGAGAAAGGTGAATCAATCTGCTCATGTAAAGATTTAAGCCTTGGAAACCCTATGGGGCAGTTCTACTTTGTCGTAAAGGGTTGCTGAGTTGGAATTGACTTATTAGCACTGGTTTTGGTGTTTTTGTTTTGAATCAGGTGAGTGAGTGTGTAAATGTAAATGAATGAACGAATACATGAAGATAGTAGTACATTTGCAGCCTCCCAAATCCCACTCACTAGGATTAACTACTTGGAATATTTGTTTTAACCAGAGATAAGATTGGACTGTATGTTCAGCTTTATATCTCCTGCCTACTACCCACTGCCATTGGGGTCAATTCCAACTCATAGTGACTCCATAGGACAGAGCAAAACTGCCCCATGGGGTTTCCCATAGGCTGCAAATCTTTAGGGAAGTAGACTGCCTCTTCTTTCTTTTGCAGAGCGACTGTGTGTTTGAACTATGGACTTTGGCTTGCAGCTGAGCGCTTTAACCACTGTAACACCAATATTCAGCACTTTCCCATAT